AATGGTAAATTAGAAATGCATATATTGAGTAATCTATTCCAAGAATGATTATGAGCTATAATACATTTCAGTGATTGCAGCCTTCACCAGTGGTTCTTCAGTAATAGAAATCATGTTAATTAACCCACTTATATTGGGGTTCATAATTAAGCTTTCTTAAAATCTAAAGTGATCAGAATTTTTAATACGTAATGTAAGTAATCAACATAATTGTGTCAGCTGTTACTGTTTAGTTCATATTGTTTTATGGTTTGAATTAAAGGAATAATAGGTCCATTGATTATGCAATGTTGACGAATGCTAGAGTAACTGGCACCTTGTGTAGTTAATAAGTACATAACCTTATAGCCAAACGCGTATTAATTTGTCCAATATCACTGCTGGTTATATTACAAACACGACTTGAAATCGGTTGTTGATATGTATCAATGTATCATTTACGTCCCGTAAATGTCATCCAGGAGTCAAGCGATGACGTAAACATTTGTGCGGCCCATATGTTTTGGACGCCAGATGAAACTGAGGTGTCAGCGGTGTAACCACGGCCACGGACTAAACATGGAAATAGAGTAAAACACACGTACTAATCACGGACGCACGTGGACAGCCCTGAGAAAAAGTTCCTTATCAAGAGCGACCATGTTTACGAAATCACTGATGATAGCATTGCGTACGGACGAGCATGCGTGCGAAAATGTCCGGTGCACTATAAATCTGTATCACACCCGCTTTGCCGACAGCGGTTTGAAACTGTAAACAACTGATTTCTTAGTAACGAGCAGTGATATTGGACAAACTAATATGCGTTTGGCTATAAGGTAATGTACTTATTAACTACACAAGGTGCCAGTTACTCTAGCATTCGTCAACATTGCATAATCAATGGCCATATTATTCCTTTAACTACACAAGGTGCCAGTTACTCTAGCATTCGTCAACATTGCATAATCAATGGACCTATTATTCCTTTAATCAATTCTGTATGTGTTGACTTTGTCGATGCAATAGTATACTGACAACTGTACGGTGGCACCACCAATGATTGTTGAAGAACGTGAAAACCTACCCTAAAAGCTGCACAGATACAGCTAAGCTTACGGGACCTTATATTCTGCAGGATGTTTCCGGAATGCCTGGCATGTGTAGGCGGGTGGAGGAGGGAGGACAGGGATTTGACTACAGGCTGGGCATGTCCATCCCAGATATGTGGATCAAGGTAAGGGGAAAATATTGGCTATTATCATACTACTAGATGTAGGAGAAGGGATTGAGAAAGATTGGATTTAGCTATATATTACAAGCTGTGCCATGCTGTGTTTGTTAAATTGATGATAGCAATTAAGTTAAGACGGGATGTCTAGAAACTGGAGCAGGGAAAATCTGGTTCAAACAAACGTTAAATATAGAGTTTTAGAGACTTTAAAATTTCATGAAGATGGGAAAATTTCGAATTTTAATAAAATTCCGTGTACTACGACGCAGATTCTGAAAGAGATGAAGGACGACGACTGGAACATGTCACAGATCACGCACACGCTCACCAACAGGCGTTACAGCGAGCGCACGATTGCCTACGTGGAGAGTCACGACCAGGCGCTGGTCGGAGACAAGACGGTCGCCTTCTGGCTGATGGACAAGGTAGATAACACGCAAGCACCCACACGCACGTGCACGCATATGCCCCCAGCCCACACACGCACGCTCACGCTCCTCCCTCCAACGGCAAAAAATGTGTGCACGCTCCCCCATGCACCCCCTTACTACCACCACCACCACCACGCACACACGTATGCCCCACACACATGCCCACAAATGCACGCGCATGCATGCACGCACATGCCCCTGACATGCATGCACGCACATGCCCCTGACATGCATGCACGCACATGCCCCTGACATGCATGCACGCACATGTGCACACCGCACACACGCACACAACGCACACATGCACACACCGCACACACGAACACATGCACACACCGCACACACGAACACATGCACACACAGCACACACGCACACAACACACACATTCACACACCGCATACATGCACGCACCACACAATACATCGTACACACACATGCACACACGAACACATGCACACAACACACAATACATCGTACGCACACATGCACACGCACGTTTGGATTAATTCTGATCATAGTGATTCTTACTGAATTCCATGCATTGCACAAATTAGCTTGGAATTTCGTACAGGAATCGATGTATAATAATTGTAGCTCTGGTGGAAATTGACGTAATGTCAGAATGGGCAGCAGTTCTATCAAACTGCATGCAGCGCCCCCTTCGCACACAGGATACCACTGCCACAATGCTAGCACTATTTTTCAAGTGGGCGGAGCTCCGGGGAAATCCAGCAAATGGCAATCCAACGGCCGCGAAGTCGCCGTCGAACAAAACATTAGAACTTTCTATGATTTGCATGTTTGTTGGTGGACATATACTACCTTCCCGAGCTGCCCCGCGCGCATGCAAACTCCACGACAGATGGCGCTCTCGCTCTCGCTCAATTCACCTTTATCCTTAGTGTACGAAGGGGCACTGCATGCAGTTTGGCGCACATATACTACCTTCCCGAGCTGCCCTGCGCGCATATACTACCTTCCCGAGCTGCCCTGCGCCCATATACTACCTTCCCGAGCTGCCCCGCGCGCATATACTACCTTCCCGAGCTGCCCTGCGCGCATATACTACCTTCCCGAGCTGCCCCGCGCGCATATACTACCTTCCCGAGCTGCCCTGCGCGCAT